CAGATAAAAACTCTGAGAAACGAGTGTAAAGAAAAGCACATGTCACCTTTGTAAGACTTTATTATTCTATTCTCTGATAGTTTGGTTTCTATTAGAAATATACGAACGCGGTGTAGTACTGAAGTAAATGTAACTGAATTATAACATGTTAATGCAGTGAACACGGTTTGTTTACAGGCGCGTTACAGTTGCTCTAGTGGGCGGGGTGTCGTGCGTTCATTGGCCAATCAGCGCGCTCTACTCCTGAGCAGGTCCCGGCCAGGCGGGCTCGTTGCTCCGTCAGCCTATCAGCGGCCGTCTTCTTCTGCGCAGGGAGAAGTTAGCAGTCGAGTGGCAGTCTGGTTCGCAGCCACGATGGGTGCAGTACGGCTTTTTGTGGTCGTCCTTCTTTTTGGGACAAGGATACAAGAAAATAATGGTGAGTGATCTGAAACGAACACAGTAGATGTGCGTGTGTTGGTGTTTTCGTGTGTTTGTCGAAACTTGCACTCTTGGTTCGACTCGCTTCCCTTAGAAGTGCTCTTTGTTCAAGAACCCCCAAGAAGCGGGTTGTGTCTAACTAAAATGGCGTAGGGTCTGCGGCCAGTCTGCTGCTGTCTGCCTGATGAATGTTTATAGTCTGGGGGGAAAGGACAAAGGCAGCAACAAGTCACACGGCGCTGAGACGGATCAGCGTGCTGAGCTCGGGTTTGGTCACCCGACCCCGCTTTGGACCAGCACAGGACCGTGTGAAGGAACAGCCCGAGTGTGGCTGATAGAAAGTTGGCCGCATCACGGATGTTTGCTTTTTGTCAAACATTAATTGGGAACAAGCGTTTTTCCTGCTGGGATTTATGTAAATATCTGTATTTACCATGTCAAACGCGTTGTTAGTGTTCTGGGCAGGACTCATCTTGAGGAGCATTAATAACCTTTGATGTGTCTGATAAATAACTCCGTTATTCTACGTGAATAGATGCTTAAAGAGTAACTTGCTGGTGGACTTCAGTAGTTTTTTGACGAGCAGACGCTAGCCTGTTAGCTTCTGTCAGACATCAGCTCAGCGCTGCTGTAACTTTCAACAAGAAACTCATGTAAATAAACGCTGAAGTCGCTGCGTGTTTGCAGCAGCGTAGTCCGCTACAGTGGAAGTGTTTAAGGAAACGCCGCTTTGAAGTAGCCAGCACGATTAGTGACGAGGGCAGGCGCGTGCACTGCTGCTCGTGCTCGCGAGTGTTGAGCCCAGATTTCATTAGTTTTTCATTAAAAAAAACATCGTGGTCGCTGAAACCATCGCGTGACTGTTACAGGTGAAGGTTTTCTTAAAGGTACAGGCTCCACCTGCATCTGTGTTCTTTGCGCTTCGTTGTGTGGCATTCCTTTGTGTATACAGAGAGGCTCGTGATGAGTGGGGCAGCGTGATTTCAGCTGGCATATATAAAGAGGTCATTAAAGCCCCCGTGGGGTCCTCGTATACTCTGCTGCTGCTTCAGATGCAGGCTGGATGTTACACTGATATGTTGGCTCAGGGACACAAACAAAGGGGAGGCACTTCTTTGTTCAGCAGGAGGCTTGTCATGTTGCACGTTTGGAGCATCATCAGTCCTTCATTCTTTTGTTATCCTCACATTAATGCAAGTCTGGTTTTAATTGCACCACGAGTGGCTGTGGATTACAGCTTAGACTGCATGAGAGCATCACTGCCACCTCTGTGCCACGTTGCTGTTCAGCACCACACCCATGCAGCTCCCACTCCTGCTTCAGCAGCATCCGCACACAGCTGAGCACAGGCAGCAAGCTAAATTGGACGGTGTCACTAGTACTCATCATCCTCCACCCTAACGGGCACCAGGTGATGCTCTGTCACTTCCCCCCCTTCCTTCTTCCCTCCCATTTTCCTCCTCCATTTTTAGCACAGTAAGTAATGAAAATCGTGACATATCTGATCTCCTACAGAGTATCCCACGTACAC